AATTACATGTGTGTAAAACGTTACAATATTGCACGGCATAGCATCTAATCAGCTAAACACAGTAGACAGTAGGTGTGGTCCACCCCTTCACTTTTGTTTAGTTGATTATTGAAAAATTAGAAACAGGATTAGTAAATTATTTATAAACACATAATGCTAACTAGGTAAATACTTGAAGAGAAGGTAAGGTTATATGTGATTTCTGGTTTTTAAAAAAAATAACTTTCAAGAAAACGATTCAACGTCAATCTGTGGATAGCAAACTTCTTAATGTGCTAATTTATAATTTGCTGATCTTTATTTTTAACTTTAAAACACTTTTATATCATATATGCTTTTTATTAAGGTTAATAAAACCGTATTAAAAAGTTATTCATCAAAATACTACATTCACAATAAAAAACAAGTAGGTATAACGTTAATAAAAATCGTTCAAAAACATAATAATAAATATATATCTTTGCTGATTGGGAAAACTAAATATTTTTCTTTGACATATTATTAGCGGTTAATTTGCTGTGGAAAAAACTCAACTGAATTATATAAAAATACGAATTTTCATTTATGAAATTTGTGAGTTTTTCATAAAAAAAAGTTTGATAAATTGATCCGTGGTAATGTACGACCACAAAAGCCGTTAGTACGTCGTATAATTATACGCTAATAATTATGCATAGTTTAATTCCTCGAGGGTTTAGAAATGATGTTCAATCATCGAGCAAGTAGGTATTGTTCTAGAGATACACGTGTTGAGGCCTTGTAATCCGTATTATGTTAACTAGACGACAATGCAGCACCGGAAATACCGTGTACGCATATTATAACAACACAAAGGTAGAGCAATAAATTCGGTAAATCCTCTTTAACCATAGGTATTCAAAAGACCAATAACGATTTCGTAGTATTGTATTGGTTCGAATAATGGATTTAAAGTGCTAATCACCGCTTTCTTGCGTTTGTTATGCCGAGATCAATACCAACCCATTATATTACCTTAGCTATTATTTGAACGCGTTTTGTTCCCTCGATAGTCGGATTTGCTTTATGACTTAACTTGTAGTCAGATGAAAAGTCAATAAATTCGACATTTATTTTTTTTTTCTTTAAAAACAGCCGGTATTCAACTTTTTATAAAAATACTTTAAATATACTTTTAATTAAATATTTTATCCTCGCATTTTTCAATATCCTACAGACTAGTTTCTCGATTGATAAATAAGTACATTAATGCGATTATAATAAAAAACTACATTATATTTTGTTGCTATACGCGAGAAATAATTATTAAAACTGACAATACCTAATGGTGCACTGACTATAAATTAGAATAAACTTGATTTTTCGCAAAAATAGGAACACAATTAAGAAACATGTAAAATATAATATAATATATTATGTTACACATATTTTAAGGTGTGGTTTCTAGCAAAGTCAACGGATATATTAATACGTATATATTTTTACAATAGTTTAATTTTTTTAATTATTTAAACTCTCATTATCTTAAATAGACAACAACTCGTTGTAAAGTTAGAACAGGCAATCTTTGTTTCATTATGTCATAATCTTACAGAAACTAACAAGTGACTGCATACCTAGAATTAAATTACAACAATAATAATTAATATATTTAACTGACTATTCCATACTCCCATATAAAAAAATATTATGTTGAAAACTACTTCATAGATTAACTGTAAATTATATAAACGTAAATGATAATGATTAACATATTATTATAAAGGATATAATGGTAGGGTCACATGGGGTAATTATAAACGAATAGAGCAAATGTAAATGCAATATTTTTCTAGAAAGAAGAAACAGTGTTCGTATTTTATTTTATTATATGGTATATTTTTATCTTGTAGTTAATAGTATTGAGTTGAGATTGAAAATTGTTGGTTATTTTAAAAATATATATATAATTTACATTTGCAACATTACCCCAGTAGACCCTAATAGTATTCTTATTTCTTTATTATACCATTTCTCTAAAATATTAAGACGGCTGTTTTGGAATACTATATATATATATATATATATATATATATATAATGTATACCGAGTAGATGTTTATAATTCAGAATAATTCAGTTTTTATTACACGAATTCATAAAAATGTTTTCACGCACATAAAGTGAGTACATCAGATGCGTGATGATTTATAAAAACCACTAAAGGAAATATTGATGCTAAAAGCTTTTCGTCGTTTGTAAAAGCCTCAGATAATTTGTCTGTGTTATTGTATATACTCAATTTAATTATGAGATAACCGTTGTACCAGTGGCAGCTAATGCATGTAAATAAATAATAGAACAAACAAAATCAAAATTAAAATCATCTTCAATTCATTTATAAAGCGTCTTCCTAAAATTGAATTATTCATGAACAATGAACACTTGTACGTTGCATTGTGGTATGCAAATGTTATAATAACCATCGGGTATAATAATGTATGTATATTCTGAACATTTAACAAATTCAAAGAACATCGCTGTATGAACTGTAGTTATTCAACCTCTTTCCGTAGTCTTTTTGAAACATTTTCATTCAAAAGTCAAAACCGCCGTTGACTATACTTTATCTCAAAAATAGTTTTTAGTTCTCCGAGACGCTTGTAATTAAAAATTAAGTACGCTACTGAGGATAGCCCCAAGTCGGGATATTCGCAGAATATTATTCATCTCACGGGCGCTGACGCAAGAAAGCCTCCGGTCGTTTACTAACGACAGCACCGACGACACTCTTTTAGACATCAAATAATTCCTTTTTATCAGCACGGTATAAACTTGCTAACGAGCTAATCCGACTGTTCAAACACACGCGAATTCAGGTGTCGGTGGAATACAGCCCCGAGGAGTTTTTCGTGTCTAATAATCGGATCGAACGCCCGATATGTCAAATGTAACCGAGTTAATGCGACACTTTTATACTACATTCTTTCCCTTAGGAGAATCTTTCAATCCCGCATAGCCATCAGTCACGTATTTCCATTGTTCAGCCTGACACTATGCGTAAGTTTAGCAACGAGGAGTTTTATTTTTTCTTCGATAATAATCCCCTTTTTAGTTTCGCGGCATGCGTACCTGAAAATGTATTATTTTTATAATGATGTGTTTTCATTTTTTATTTGTTGTGTGTCTGAACCCAAGATATCTTTCAATCCGCCGAACCTTTACTGGTCAAAAACTAAAACGGTTAACTCCTTCCCCGTTAAAAATGCCCGAAAATGTACATATTTTTTGTCGACTCGGTTCCAAAATTGTATGAAAATATCTGTAAACATGTAAGTTAAATACAGGAGAATCGCAGCATTCACAGTCATATGATGGCGCTAACATCACGTCCGGAAAATAATACATGTAACAGTACTGTTCTCGTTAGATAATATTCGTACAACGTTTTCCTAATGTGATTCAATAGTTCTTAAACTTGTAATAGCTTTAGAGTTTGTGTGCTCTATAATTTTGAGAACGAAGGACACGGTTATTTTAGCTACAGTCTACGGTTTAATACTGAAATAAAGCTGTTGTAGCTGGTGTTAGTATTCGTTAATAATTTCAAGCGTTATTGTTTGAGAAAAATAAACGGAGTGTGTGCTAAATTGTTAAACCTAATCCACTTAGCAGGTGCTAGTGTCGTGTGTCTTCGCGGCTGACACCACATCCTTAATGTTATGATCGATCTTTGTGTGAAGCAATCACACAAACAACATTATTTCATCGCACAGCACTTGCAATAACTTCACAGGATTTTATCATTAAAATTGAGTAGGTAACGTAAATGTTTATTTTGGCAAGGAACTACAAAATTACAAACTTGGCTCACGTTAATATTGTAACTAAATTAATTTCGAACAGATGCATGAAAGTGGTTTATTTTTCACCATATAAAAGACAAAAAAAAAGCTATAACATTAAGTACAATTATTTCAGATAAATTTAAAAGTTCAAATTATTAAGAGATCAAAAAAGAAAAAAATGATCATTTTCAAAGCAAGCAGTAGTTTTGAATTTTGAATTTCTGTTCGGTGCTTTTACTGGTTGAGTGCCTCAATGACAAAGTGGTTACGAAAAACCATTGAAAAAAAAGTATTTATAAAAATATATATATTCGAGAAATGTATATAGTGTATCTAAAGAAGAATTTGTAATGATTTTTTATGTAAAAGTTTAAAAAGCTTTTACTGGATATTTTATTCGCATTAAGCAATATACCTAGCTACAAATTGTTCAAATGCTTTTTAAATTTATTTGAGTGAAAACTTTTGTTGTAAAAAGATATAGTAGACATCTGTAGATTTTTGTAGTCAAACTTTTATTATGGAAATAGGTAATTTTTTAAATAACTTATTATCTACTTAAACTTACCGATGACCTGATTTTAATTTATAATTATTTTATTATAATGCGTATTTAAAACCGTATACTGGAAAGAAGAGTATCTATAAATGATTTCTCCTATTTATTTAGTTACAAGTATTAAATTAAAAACCAACTATAATTCTAAAAATATAATTTTTCTTTTGTGCAATGTTTTTATGATATTCTCTAATAATCTACCCTTTCCCGTTATTTTTAAACAGAAGGTAATACACTAAACAAAAGCTATAATAGCTATATTTACCACATTATTGTAGTTTAAGAGCTGTATATTTCCTATAAATCAAATTTCGATAGTATAAATCAAAGGATAAACCAATGGAGTTTCATCAACGGATGGTAATCTCCACACATGTCATAAACTGCTAATTTTTGTACACAATTCTTATTGTAAATACACCATATGCTTATTGTAAGAATTTGCCTGTACAGATTGTATATTTTTCTAATAAAAAAAAATTTCTAAGTATAAAACGTGAAACAAATGATGGTATAACTAATAGTAATATAGTTTAATAAAACATATATCGTGTTTAAGCATAAACAGTAATGATATTATAATTTACTAGTTTGTTTTACGTTTTTATTAATTTTATTTTGTATATTACTTTTCAGAAATCAAAAATCGAACACTTAAAATATCAACCGAAAAACAAGGTGAATTAAGTATTATTAATATTTTACAGTTGCCATAAATTCTGTTTTATAGTGCACAATTTATTTTACTTTACTTACATGTTACACGCCTTCATAATTTGAAAGCAACTAACATGTAAATGCTACTAGCGCATAACACCAATCTGATGCAAATAAAATGTGAATGCCGTTAACTTTTTTGTGAACAAAATATGGAAGGGTTAGGTTACCAATTTAGTTGTAACGCCCAAGACGCTCTTAAATGATGACAAAAAAAAACAGGTCAAAAGGTTAAAAACACTGTATAAAAGACCAGAAATAAATAATATTTTAGTTACGTTTTAACTTCTGACCTCAATATCGCAAGTACAAAATCCCAACATTCAACCAAAAGACAGTCCACGTGAGTCACTTTTTTACGAAATTGAATTTTACTATCAAGTTTATTGGAATTATATGTTTAAAACTGTTTGATTTCTAAAACATCCTTGTGATCATTATAATATGCCTAATCATACTAAATAAAGTAAATATTATGAAGAGAAGTGAATATGAATATTAAAGTGCATGTCGTAATGGTTTGTTGTCTTCTTTCAAAAATTTAGAAATTTAGACATACCAATTACCCACTTCCCAATTAAATCCATACTTCTAATTTTATAATAATGTTTGTATCTATTATTTATTATTTTATTCACAATATAAAAAGCCGTTTGGTGTTAATATAAAATTAAAATAAATAAAATTAATTAATAAAAAATGTTTTTTTAATAAAAGTCCACAAACATATTCTCTAAAAAAAATTAGGATTTTGCACTTTAATTACAAATAGTTTTTTGAATAACTATAATCTTGTGCACACTTTATTACAAATATTTTCTAATTAATTATTCTACTTAGTTAAAAAAAAGGTAATTAGAGATAATAAATTAGAGCTCAAATTACAACCTATTTGCATCGAAATTGGTCCAGCCGTTCTCACATGCAAAATGCGTTTGAAAGTAATTATGTTAATACTTATTCAGTTTACATTGAGCATTTTAATATTTCGACCATTTCTGTGGTTATAAGCATAACTTTAGCCAATGTTGATAGTGTAATATTTTATTCCACAAAAAGTAGTTCTAAGGGCAAGTTAGCTAGTTTTCAGATAGTCTAAAACCAAATTAGGACAACACAGCGTGATTTATGCAAACGATTTCCTTCTAAAGTTTTTTTTGTGGTGAAAGGACTAATGACAGATATGACCTTTGCAAGGTACTTTTTTATGACATTTTCACCAAATTATTATTTAGATAATGATTTCTGAATAACTTATCAAGTTGTAAAGGGAAAGAAAATAAAAAATATTTTAAAAAAATAACATGGATTTATTATTTGATTTTAAATCAACCTCTTCATAAATACATTTTGAAAAATTTTAACTAGGTATTCCTAATCGTTTTTAGATATATGTTAATATACTTTTAAAATCATTTTTAGCAAAAGCTATGAGTCGTCATTACACATAAGCTCTGCATAAAACGTCAACTTAAATTCCGCAAAAAAACATTTTTAAAAACTACTCAGAAGTTTCACAAAGTGTTGTACGTTTTCCCAATGTGTCCGTTCATAAGAAATTTGAAAATTGTCGGTTTGTTCGTTTCTGAGTATTTCCCGAGTTAAACCGTTATTTCACAAAGAACCTAGTCTACACCTGTGAGAGTAGGGATGTTCGGATCCGTGTCCGAATGATTTTTTTTTTAATATAAACAGCCACCTACGTACCAGTGGTGTAGTCACAATAACATATGCCGAGGTTCGCATACTTGAAGAGTACATGGCTCCATTGTAACCATACTGTCAGCTAAAACATTTTTCAGCTATTTATCCATGTAAATACTTCCATCGGAAACTCTATTTAACTGATGTTTATATAAAACGAGAAAAAGTTAAACATTTTTAATTAAAATACATCAATCTTAGTTTTTTTTTTTTTTATTACAATATATAATAAATATATATATGTACGATGTTTGCAACATTTTCACAAACGGCTTAAATGGCTATTTAATAAATGGGTACCTGTGTTTATGAGTTTCACTAACAGTGCCGTTAATATATTTTACGGTGAATATGCCACACTGGGCTGTGGTCTAATAAAACTTTCAGAACCCCGGAAAACGTTCATACCCTTACACACGTTACCCGACACAGTAAAAATTATCGGGGTCACTTGGTCGTAAATCTGATATGGGTATCGAATAAAATAGGTAGACTGACTAAAAGTGGCAGATTTGTGCGGAAAATAGAACATAACGAAACTAAAAAAAAACGTTTTTTGTTGTTGTTGTGATTTCGCGATGAAGAGAACAATACGAGTAAGCAAGGTTGTGACACATCTTGATAACATAGGAAACGTCAAAAAAATAGCTTTAGTTTTTCTTGATAAATGGCGTGACATTACTATTTATTTGACTTTTAATGCAACGAAAATAACATGTAAAAGTGGATACATTAATAATAGTTATAGTAAATATATACATAGATATTAACCCGCGTAAAACAACTCTTCCTTTAATTAAACCCTTATTACCTTTAAATGAGTTTAATTTTCAAAAAATTAAAAGTAACTCAAAAAACCTCTTAAACGCTTTCTCCTCATAACGTTAAACATAGCCAGCGGGGTAAAAAAAACAAAACAAATTGCCAGATTATTTATTAGTTTTTTAAGACTAGTTTATGTAAAAACTACAACTACTATTATAAAGATAAATATAAAATACTTTAATATCATGCTAACTTTCAAACACAATCTGGGATTATTACAAAAATGGCTAATTTTTGCTTCGGTAAAGGGCTGAGAGATTTTAGTTTTACAAAGAATCAGTTCCACATTTGTCAACGGGGTTTTCTTTAGAAAAAAAAATCAATACCCATTTAGATTTAACTATAGTACAAAACCAAAAAAATATTATTAAATCTGACAATTTTTCCGAAAATCTGTAATCAAATTTTTTTTAAGGAAACGGGAAAAAACCAATTACAAGTACAATATAGTCGATACTTGTTGATATTTATGCCTCTTGTGGTAATTTTTTTTTATATTTAATTTTTGCATTATATATTGTTTCCGCTATTCCCCTATCCTACTATGCTAGCCTTTTCTTTTTTTTTTACGGTTTGTTCAAATAAGGGTAAGATATTACATTTATTGGAATGTTTGCTTATAATATGTAAACATTACATATATTGGAATGTATGCTTAAAGTATGTAAATAAACAAACTTAACAAGAGGAACGAAGTACTACAAAGAAAACGTCATGACTTATGACGTAACAAAAAGTCGAGAAAATCTTGCATCGTTAATCAAAGACTATTCACCTGTTTAATATAAAAAGTTTACTGATAGTTTTCTTTATCCAAAACTTAAGAACAAACTTTGGAACTCAAAGCATAAATATTTACAATTCGTTTTTAGAATAAAATACCTAACTCGATTTTACAAGTTTCATAATTTAAAAACAAAACATCTCAAAATAAAAGCTCCTTCATATACTACAAAGTATATTATTTATTCTAAATTAAAAAGAGTTAATACAAATTATGTAGTAACTAATTTTTTAATGTTATGAAAATTATTATTAAATATATACATTAATGTTACTTTCATAATACTTAATTCTTGTTGTAAAATGATCCATCTAATTATTTTAAAACCCCAAAATGCACGAAAGTATTGTAAAAGTTAATAACAAATTCAGTAATATAAATTACTGAATGTCAAATAATCCTTTAAAACTTATCTAAAACATTTTTAGTAAACAATTATTCAAACAGGTTTAATTTCACACTTCTCTAAAAAATCATAGACTATAGTAACTAAAATAGCAGTACCATCACAAGTATCATTTATTACAAACAAAGATGTAAGCTGTATACAACACAATTATAAACAAGTCGTTCTTACATCACGACCAAATGAGTATAAGTATAAAATGTATACTGCCGTACTAAGCCAAAAAGGGGTAACTCAAAATACATGGACTTGCCTTTAAAACCACCATTTTAAGTATAGGTTTTAGACCAAAATATAGTGGAAATACGAAATTTTATATTGTTAAGAGCAAACAACAAGTTATTAACAATTGTATTTATAGAGACAAGGACGTAGACGATATCTCATAGATATTTTTTCTTCCATGGACTACACGTATAGAACCCACGTTGAATATCGTTTGCTATAAACGTTCAAGCAAACAAAAAAAAAGGCAATAAAAGAGCTTCCTATCAAACGTGACACGTGTCCCGTATAGGAGATTTAGCGAATGTATTGGGGGGGAGCACCGAGAGAGTTTTTAAGTATAATACCGTATACAGCTATGGTGGAAACGTTAGTGGCTTGTTTATAGGCCACATGAATGTACAATACGTTATTTCCTAGTCCTTCCCCGAACATAACAAAACTTATCTTCCTTTTTCGCCGTCTCACACTCCTAAAACCTCTCGAACCTACTACCAAGTACGATAAAGCGTGATTGACTAGGATTCGATGAGAGTTCTTGACTATTTTTTTCAAAAAAAAAAATCAAAAAATCCCATAAAAGGTTCGAGATTATTCATACATTGAGCCATAAACTTACTCAGTGTAAAAAAAAAATGGTTAGTATTAATATAATTTTAATTTCAAGTTTCTTACGGTAGGTACCTCACAAGTAATTTACTCTTACTGTATAACTTCATTATGCAACAGCGCCGGAAACGTTCAATGCAGAATCAGCAACAAACCTGAGAGGCTTCCATTTAGCTGTCATAATATTTTGTTAACGAACCAAATTTCTAATTATTATACTTAATTTTTACTTATGTTTCATTTTAGATAGTGAAATTGAACAATACTGCTAGATTTATATTCCCATCTTCGCCCATGATAATTGTTTTATTACCAGAGTTGTCTGCATGACTCTAGTTCATCACTTATTCGTGTAATTACTTTGTTTGTTTTATAACAACGTTTTATATATTTTAAGCTCACGTAATA